GAGTAGTCTTCTTATAGATATGCCCCATCCCTATTCTGTCCAACAGTCACTCACTTTAGCATCAGGGTTTTCACAGATTAGAAACAAATCTGGAAAAAAGTCCCTGAGAGACGTTTGGTCTATCCAGCCATCTTTCCAAACTTCAGTTTTGTTTCCATTACCCACCTTGATATACATATTTCCTTCTATTTGTGACCATAGGTTCCTGATTGTCCTCCATACCCCACCCCATATGGTTCAGAGGTGATTTCTGTACGCCGGGGGTTTAGTTCTCCATATTTTGTTTAAGTAAATTGACGAAGTTACTAAGTTAAATGGAAGGGTATCCTCTCTAACAACTGAAGTTCTTAGATGAGGCAGTCAAAAAAATTTGGCATGGTATCAGAGCAACCAGAAATTCTGGTTCAAATCACACTGCCACCCATTTATCAAAATATTTTATACATGTTAAGCCTATGAAGAAAAAAAAGTCCGCAAGTGAGTGGCATATTGAAGACAAAGTCAAATAAAAGCATAACCTCTCTACCAACTTAAAATTTTAGATGAGACAGTCACACAATGCAACATCTATTAAAAGATGTTAGACCAAACCATGTAAAAATACTCTATATATACATGCAAGGCACACCTGTCTATCTCCCCCTTTTAAAGTCAGGTCTATTACATCTTTAAATTAGATAAGATTCTATATGATGCTTGTGTTGTCAATCGTGTAAAAATAATACTTTAAGGGGTTGTTTGGTTTAAGGGATAAGGAATAACGATCTTAGGATAAAACATAGAATTATTTTATCCCGCATTTGGTTGAACTTTTGATTCCAGAAATAGCAAATCTCCACTTAATTATTGTGGTATCACTTTTATAACACACTTTTTTTATCAAGGTTTATTTTCATTGATACTTTTACATCACACTTAACATAGGATAAACACCAAAATGACAAATATAACCTTCTTCAAAGCTCTTCTGCCAAAGTACTTTCAAGATTAAAATTGAAAAAAAAAAGTTCATCTTCATCTCAATTATCTTGTAACACAAAACACATGTTGTGTCACATTTATACCCGTACACTATATGTTACATTTCATCAAAAACATGTGTTTTGTTATTCATACATCCGACTTTTAGTTCAATGAAGCATACATCTACCAATAAAGTATATCCACCAAATAATTTGTCATTATTTGACCCTCTTATTATAATCCCGACATAAGAATCTTCATACAACTTGTTTACCAACCGAACTACCTCTAAATATCTTGGGCTAAATAACTTATTCCTCAAGAGATTTCAGTTGCCTTAAGTGGTACATAGGCCCTTGGAAATCTGGTTGAGGCATAAACCAATATTCTAATTTAAGGACGGTTAAAGTACAGTACCAACCTCAAAACACTAATGACAACATAAGTTTGTTGGCTTACCAAGAAAGAAGGAAAAAAACATAAGTCAGACCAATAAAATGTACAACTCAGTACCATCAGGAAGAAGTACCTTATCATACACTGGAATGAAGTAATAACCATTAGGGGCACAGTGTGTTCTTTCCTTCACCAAGCCATCCAATGTGCGAAGCTCAACCTGCATTAGAAGAAACATATGATTGGAAGATCTAGTGTGTTATCCTTACGGAGTTAATTACATTGTAATGTGTAAATTGGCAAAGGCCGACTGACAATATAAGGTATAATCGCATACTACAGCACCCATCAACACAGTGTATAAATAACTGTTAAACACTATAAACTTGAGAAGATAAATTAGAAAATCCCAACACTTTTTAACCTAGGGCTGCAATGCATAGGACCTGGTGCACGGTGCTAATATCCCATGGGAAATTTTTTTCACACATAAGCAAAATGTAGCATATAATAGAACCAAACAATGGTTAAGATAAAAACAACACTTAATCATTCAAGGAAAGGAATGTGAGCTAACTGTCAAGAATTTATGGTTTATGCTTATCAAAAAGAGGAATAAATTTATGTTTATGACGGTAAAAATTGACCTCCTTTTCCCTCAGCACTAATTTTTTCAATATATGAATAATAGTATGATCATACCCTCTACGAATTATGAATTTGTAGCACTAATGAACTTCTTGGAATGTAGTCCCTGACTTTAATTTCTTAACTGTCATCATCCAATGTAAGATGAAACATGTATACATACTAAATAATTCATCATTATGAGATATTATACAAAATTTGCCTTTTTTGATTTATATATTTTCTATTGAGCTGAGTTTCAGTGATAGCATTTCAGGATTTGCTTTCTCTAAAGTAACCCCACCTTAAGGAGGAACGTAAGTATAAGCAGACTTGAATGGTTCTTTGTTTGAATGATCTATAATGAATCCAATCAGAATAGAAACTTGAAAAAGGAGAAATCACTACTTCACAGATACAGAATATGAAAAGCAAAACCGAGCTTTACAGGCTATTCATCCAACATAGAGGATAAAGTTCCTTTTTTTTTATGTCAGTACCAAGTACCAACAAAGTGAATATACATGATTCATCTAGCAGACCTCATCTAGTCCAGGATCAATGTTTAGTTGACTGATACTATCAGGTACCCATAAGGTGAGAGAGTAAAATAAAGGAGAACAATAAATGCTTATCAATTAATCAGTAGTTGCCACATACAATGATATTAGAATAATCCAATTTCGGATCGCTTGACTTCCTTGACTTGATCAGTTCCGAACTTGCCTACAGCAAAAAAACGAAAAATAGAAATAACCTAGATCAGTATCAAACTCTTCACCTACTAAAACCAATGGACATTAAGGAAATACTAAAAACAGCTCAGAATCTTTAAAACCTAAAACAATATTGCATTCTCTGATTTCAAATCAACTAATATCAGATACCCAGTATACAGTGTAAGTATCAAACTCTTCACCAACTAAAATCAATGGACATCAACAAAATACTAAAAAAACACTCAGATTTTCAAACCTAAAAACGAGTTTGCATTTTCTGATTCAAAATCAACTAATATCAGATACCCAGTATACAATGTAAGTGTCAATCTCTTCATCTACTAAAACCAATCGACATTAAAGAAATACAAGAGAACCACTCAGAATCTTTAAAACTAAAAACGATTTTGCATTCTCTGATTCGAAATCAACTAATTTCCGATACCCAATAACCCCTTCTACAAAAACTAGCTCAACAGGCTTCAAAGACTGAATTTTTTTCATTCGAAAAATCAAAAATCAAGCAAAAAATCAAAAGGAAATTAGTTGAAATCACCTCAACAAACCCCCCACATCCTTGAATTGAATCAGCAGCGGCAGTGGCGGAAACGTAGAGAATAATTGATATGATTGTGCATACATAGAAGTAGCTGGATGCCATTGCCGGCAAGAGAGAGTATTGACGTCCCTTAGTGATTAGCACAAACAGATCTCGCGCTGCTCAGTTGAGCTTCAGGGGTTGGTTCTCTCTGCTGTGATGCGCAAGGGTTTTGACTATTGTACATTAGACCTTACAGTAGGGACACAAAGGACCAATATTTTATACTATAAAGTATTTTTTGTTATTGAGAGACTTTGATCTAAGCCTAAATTTGAGTGTTAAATAAAGATATCCATCAAAAAAATTTAGATGGTATGTAATAATACTAGTTTTATTAGGCTTGAGTCATCTACTATTTTTTGAAGTTTTCATATATTTCGTTTATATATTTTGATTAGAATTTGTATATGTATGAATATCTTTACCGTATTGAATTTGAACTATTTGAATATTTTTTTTAAAATGACACTTTGTCGATGACACAAAAAACATATTTAATTAGCCTTAAAAGGTATCTTTCTTCTTTCTTTGCTTTGTTTCTATCACTTTCTCTGCCTCATCACATTTCTTCCTCCTCTTTTTGAGTGACTACCATCATTTCTGTCATTAACATCGTCACTTGATCGTTATTGGTTTTTTCATATGTAAGACCATACAAAAATTTCTTTCTTTTCCCTTTTTTTTTAATATGTTGATTTATGGAATAAAAAAGATGAGAAGAGTAGTCGGATGTGCTCCGATGGGTTAGCAGGGAAGGGTTTGGGTGGTGGCTTGGTGCATAGATGGGTTGGGGTTAACATTTTAATTTTAAAATAATTTTGTGGACTCAAGCGACACATGTCATCATTTTATTCGACATCTCGTCATATTTGATAAAACGACAGATTATCATTAACCAATAAAGAACATTACACCATCAGATCACTTATCATATCAACCATCTTTTAGGAAGAGTACTAAGAATCATAAGTTTCCAACTAAAACAAGAAAAAATAATTATGTACTAAGAAACTGTGTAATCAACCTATGATTGGTACTAGCTTTCCTAGAATCGTTAAGTAAATATATTTTTTGTATAACTTCTTTCTTTATCTTCTGAAGACCTTCAAGATCATTTTTTTTTCTAGTTCGCAGCGGATCCTCTAAAGATCTCTCGATTCCTCGCTTTTCAATATGATAAATTCTTGTTTCCCAAATAGTTGCTATCATAGTATCCCTTGTGTCTCAAATTTAAGCTTTTCATATGGAGTCACATTATAGTAGAGAGTACTTTACCTTCAAAGTGAGACTTTTCAAAGTAGTTCCAAACTAGTCTGGCCCCAAAATGGATACTAGAGGACAGAAAATCAAAAAAAAAAACTTCACTAGACCACATTATACAATTATTTTATCCAAATCCTCCTTGTTCATATTTTGTTTTGCAAGTGGTATATTTGAAAAGAGAAAATAAAGTGATTAACTTAAGTAATTCTTGTTATTGTTATTCTTTCTTATACATAGTAGAGATGTGAAAATCCACAAGACGCGACTAGACATATTGTATGTGTCAATTGTAATTTAGCGAATAAGTCCGTGAAGATGAAGGTTTCACAATCGGTACTTTCAAATATTATATATAAGCCAATTGTTCACTCTGCTTGACGAACTTTTGCCCCCATTCATATTAAGCAATAAGTTCAGTTGGAAATAGAAAATAGCATGCAAACTATATCTAAAGACTATATAGTTTGTCCAAACACACTACAAAAGTACAATACATTTTTGTTATATTATATGCTTAAATATACATATACAAATTTACAAATACTTAAATGTGACACAAAGGAATCAACCGTGCGCTAGCTATGCTCCTTAGATTTTTTTAAAAATATATATAATTGATACATAATATGTATAGTGAAATGTATATATATTTTCTATTACCTTCCTGTTGGACTCACAATCTGTGAAAAGACATCATCTGTTTTACCATCAGCATTTTCATTTTCATTTTCACTTTCAAGGCTCAAAGTGCTTCTATGCATAGCTATCAAACTGTGTTGATCAGCATTGTCATGATCAACCTGTTTCGTTGCCTCGGAAGTTGATAAAACACCATCTGGATTTTCTTGTAGCTGAAGGGCATATTCAAGATTCCATAACACATCACCCATGGACGGACGATTTATACCATTATCAGCTAAGCATTTCTCAGCTGTTTCTGCAAATTTTTTCAAGCATTCAGGATTGATCTTGCCTTTCAAATGTGGATCAATAATATCTTCTAAATTCCCTTTCCTTTGACAAGCTAATGCCCAATCTGCAAGACTAACTTGTTCTTTCGGAAGATTTGAGTTAAGAGCTGGCCTTGCACACAGTACTTCAAATAGGACAACACCATACGAGTACACATCTGATTTTTCAGTCAATTGTTGTCTTCTGAAGTATTCAGGATCTAAATACCCGAAGCTACCCTTTACGACTGTTGAAACATGTCCTTGGTTCATGTTTGGACCTGTTTTGGAAAGTCCAAAATCTGAAACCTTAGCAACCCATTTGTCATTTAACAAAATGTTTGTACTTTTCACATCTCTATGTATAATAGTGTATTTAGCTCCTGTGTGAAGGTAATGAAGTCCTCTGGCTGACCCAATGCAAATCTCCAACCTTTGCTTCCAAGATAGTATAGTTTTGTTACCTTTGTAAAGATGCTCCCTTAATGTTCCATGTGCCATGTGGTCATAAACAAGGACCATTTCATTGTTCTCTTCACAAAATCCGATCAAGGACACTAAATGTCGATGCCTTAGCTTTGAGAGCATCTCGATTTCAGTTTGGAATTCATTGACTCCTTGTTCTGAAGATGGATTTGATCTTTTGATTGCAACTTTCGTGTCACCATCGATAACTCCTTTGTATACCTTTCCGAATCCACCAACTCCAATGACATATGATTCGTCAAAGTTTTTAGTAGCTTGTTTGATCTCAGCAAGTGAAAAGTATCGACAGTTACTAGCAGCATCTGATGAAATGGTTGTGCTACCATTACGACTTCTTCCGGAAGCTGATTTGCTAGAGGAAGAATGAGAGTTTCCATAAATCGGTAGCCAGCTAGTCGTGCCTGATTCACCTCCTAGGGATTTTCTTTTCCTCTTCAAAGCAACAAAGACTAAAACAGCAGCTAGACCAAATGCAGCAGCAACTCCACCTGCAGCACCACTGATTATAGCAGTATGACTATGTGATTTGTCCTGATCAGTGAATCCCCGCGGAGCTTCTTCTTTACTGTGTTCTTCCTGATACTTCATCATTAAATCTGACAGTGTAGGATTCTGACCTGCCAAGCTCGTGTGTCCACCATTGATCTTAAATATTTCTAGTCCATTTACAATAGCATTAGCTAAATCAGCATTATCTCCTGATGGATGCACTGCTATCAAAAGCAGATCATCTCCTTCTTTATCTTCAACATGAGTCACATAGTCTTTTACTAAAGGAATTGCCTTTTCCCCATGTTGCATTGCAACTAAATCGACTCCAGTTTCTGCGATTTGTCCGTTTATATATACATTAAAGACTAACGAATTGATCTTAGTGGAATCGACAATGAAGTCACACCAGTGAAACCTCACAAGATACGAAAAGTTTGCATCAACACTGAAAACCCAAGTAAGGTTGTAATTTTTGTTGATATTCGACTCAAAACCCATCGATCTACAACTACCGTACACAGCTAGGGGTGCAATATATGGTGGTAAGTCAGCATAAGGAATTGTCATATTGGTGCTCATAGCAATACCAACACCCGAACCGCCATATACGTAGGGAGTATCTTCATACCAACTCCTCATTAACCCGCCTGAATCATTTTTCGGAGGAATGAACTGTCCACCAACATTGACTCTAAACATCAGTTCCATATTATTTTCCCTAATAGATATAGTTTGCTGAGAAACAACATCTCCGCCCCCAGAAGAATTCGGTTCTTCATTAGTACTAAACCCAGCCATCACAGGATCAGGGCCGTAAAATAAATCAGGTGAGCTGATCATTTCAATTCCATTGATGAATGCAAGTGATGAGTTACCAGCAGGACTAATTTTGATCTCCAAAGTTGGAGAATCCACGGGATACAAAATGTATTCTTTAATAATGTAATTTTGTGACCATGCTTGTGCAGTTATATACGCGCTGAAATTATTCAACAACGTAACTTTACCAGCAGAAAGAGAGATGTATGAATTCGAAACGTTGAAATTAGAATAAGAAGTCGGGTAGAAATGAAGCCTAAGCAAAATATGAGCTGATCTATTTGTAATAGGAAGGTTATATGAAGATTCTGATTGAAAAAATCTTGCATTTACATATGGTACAACAGATGGAACAGAGGGGTCAGGGGATTGAGGTTGTGTCATGACTGATTTATCACCTGATATGAGATACTTCGCGTCCGATTCCCAATTTCTAGCATCTTCATCTGTTCCACCATTTTCAGAACCACATGCTATGAAAAGTGAGGTATGATCACCTACTGCAGCATGTAGAGATCGCGAAAATAAAGAAAGGCATATGAATAGTAGCAAAATACGAGTTTTTGTTAACATGGTGTTAACAAAAAAGAAAAAAAGGCGTACAGGAAAGCAATGTTTTCTGTACGCCTATGAAACAATAAAAATGAGAGATTGATCTTTTGTGTTTGATTTATGGCGAAGACGAGATCATTTCTTGCCTTCTAGGCATCCATTGTTGAAAGGGTTTTAGCTTAATCAATTAGGATGCATGGGAATAAACAAACAAAATTGAAAAACTGTTGAAATGTTTTTACATTCTTAAATTTTCTTCTTTTGTTTATCTTTTTTTGCTTTTATTGAACAAACACCAATCATTCTGATAATAGGAAGTTATGAATGAATGGTTAGGAGTGAAAATTGTAAATGTTATTCATTTTCTCCTAAGTTAATGAGATCTTTTTTTCTTTCGAGAAATAAATGAATTTAGAAACTCATTATTAGTTTTTCTTCTTTTTTTTCGCTAAAACAAAACTACAAGTTTGTTAAGTTTATCACCATACCAATCTATTTTATAAAAATAAGTTGAAAAAATAACTAACATGAAACAACTATATGTAACACCTATCTCTACTCTATTACCTTTGAACTAAATTGGTCCTGTAGTTTCAGTACCAAACAACCAAACTATGTTTTCTTCCTCTTCCTTTTTAGCCTTCCTTGTGATATTTGAATCAAATATTATGTCTCTCTCAAAAAATCTAGAATTCCTACTTGTTGTATTTATAAAGATTTTATGTCTTTTGCAATGCAAATTTTTCGATCAGGAAAATACTATTTGAAGCCTGGTGCCTCCAAATGATGTGGAGTTGAATGTGAGTAAAAAATTTTTATAACTCCATATCATACTTGTTATGTCCCACCAACAATAGGTCTAGTGCTTGTATAGGTCGAAAATTGAACTTGAAACCTCGTGGTGGTCAACTAGCTAGGCCACACCCTTGGGTGCCATTGAATGGGAGTAATTTCCAAGTAACTATTTAGGAAACTAGAGTGAAGAGCTTACTGTGAAGATGAGAGTGTGTAAATTTGTATACAGTTATTCTTATCCAACTTTTGAATGCCATTTTAATCTTTTTCCTATTTTAAATAATACATCATGGAGAAAATGTTGCAAAGAACAAATTTTTTTAACTTTTTTCCTTTCACATGCTAAGGAGGATATCATGTATTCTTGATGCCAATTGTAAACTTGTTTTTAGAGCTAGTATTTCAGCATGGATGTTAGTTCAATATTGTATTTCTCTAGTAAAACATTTTTGCCACCAACAAGCATTATGGTGGGATGAATTTCGAGATGTGAGTATGAAAAAGAATCATGTTAGTTAGTGTTTCCCTTTTAAATGGCCTTTGGATTAGTCGGGAAGGGGGTGTCATCGAGCAAAGAGAATTCCTGCTGTAATATGGTCATTTTCTTCTGGTTCAACACCACATAGTGTAGGCATTCTTTATAGAGAAAATAGGGGAAATTTCCATGAATAATGAAATAAATCCAATCCATAAATTGTTATATATATATATACACATGGGGATTCAATCCCAACGAGAAAATAGTGTCAAATAAATTGGAATGAAGAGAGTTACAAAAAAGGCTTTGTCTAAATTACATCAAATGATACAAAATTTGTTGTGATATCTCGAAAGATACACTATAGCAGCATCATTCAATAACCTGCTATAAAATTCCTTATATAGTCAATAAGGAGTATGTATAATATTTGTACAAATACTTACTCTCATCATAACAAAATGATAAGAAAGAACAATCTATGTTAAGCTATTACCTTGCTGTTGGACTCTCAATCTGTGAAAAGAGATCATTTTTGTTATTATTATTATTATTATTATCAGTACCATTAATACTTTCAAGGCTCAAAGTGCTTCTATGCATTGCTATCAAATTGTTTTGATCAGCATTGTCATGATCCACATCTTCTGTTGCCTTGGAAATTGATATAACCCCGTCTGGATTATCTTCTAACTGCAAGGCATGTTCAAGATTCCATAATACATCGCCCATGGATGGACGATCTACACCATTATCAGCTAAGCATTTCTCTGCTGTTTCTGCAAATTTTTTCAAGCATTCAGGATTGATCTTGCCTTTCAAATGTGGATCAATAATATCTTCTAAATTCCCTTTCCTTTGACAAGCTAATGCCCAATCTGCAAGACTAACTTGTTCTTTTGAACGGGTTGGATTAAGCGCTGGCCTTGCACACAATACTTCAAACAGGACAACCCCAAATGAGTATACATCTGATTTTTCAGTCAATTGTTGTCTTCTGAAGTATTCGGGATCCAAATAACCAAAGCTACCCTTTACGACTGTTGAAACATGTCCTTGGTTCATGTTTGGACCTGTTTTTGAAAGTCCAAAATCTGATACCTTAGCAACCCACTTGTCATTTAACAAAATGTTTGTACTTTTCACATCCCTATGAATGATGGTGTATTTAGATCCTGTATGAAGGTAATGAAGTCCTCTAGCTGCTCCAATACAAATCTCCAACCTTTGCTTCCAAGATAGTACAGTTTTATTACCTTTATAAAGATGTTCTCTTAATGTTCCGTATGCCATGTGGTCATAGACAAGGACCATTTCATTATTCTCTTCACAAAATCCGATTAGGGACACTAAATGTCTATGCCTTAGCATTGAAAGCAACTCAATTTCAGTTTGAAATTCGTTAACCCCTTGTTGTGAAGATGGGTTTGATCTTTTTATTGCAACTTTCGTGTCACCATCAATAACTCCTTTGTACACTTTTCCAAATCCACCAACTCCAATGACATATGATTCGTCGAAGTTCTTAGTGGCCTGTTTGATCTCAGCTAGTGAAAAATATCGGCAATTAGAAGCAGCATCTGATGAAATGGCTGTGTTACCAGCACTTCTTCGAGAAGCTGATTTGCTACCAGAAGAATGAGAGTTCCCATGAATCGGCAGCCAACTAGTTATGCCTAGTTCAGCTCCCGGGGATCTTTTTTTCCTCTTCAAAGCAACAAAGACCAAAACAGCAGCTAGACCAAATGCAGCAACTCCACCAGCAGCACCACTGATTATAACAGTATTACTATGTGATTTGTTCTGATTAACAAATGCCCCCCGAGCATCTTTACTGTGTTGTTCTTGATATTTTTGCATTAAATCTGACATTGTAGGATTCCTTCCAGCCAAGCTCGTATCTCCACCGCCAATCTTAAATATCTCTATCCCATTTACAATTGCATTAGCTATCTCACTTCCAACTCCTAATGCATGAACTAATGGATGCAGTGCTACCCAAAGCTGACCTCCTTCTTTATCATCAACACGAGTCACATAATCTTTTACGATTGCTACTTTCTTTTTCCCACTAGTCATTGCAACTAAATCGACTTCTGTTTCTGCAATTTGTCCATTGACATATATATTAAAGACCATAGAGTTGTATTTCGTGGCATCAATGCTGAAATCACACCAGTGAAGCCTCACAAGATATATAAAATTGGGATCAACATTGAAAACCCAAGTCAGGTTATAGTTCTTGTTGAGGTTTGAATCATAACCCATCGATCTACAGCTCTCGTAGATAGCAAGTGGTGCAATGTATGATGGCATGTTATCGTACTGAATTGTCATGTTGCTCCTCATAGTGATGCCTATGGAAGCACCATATAAGTAGGGAGTATCTTCATACCAACTTCTCATTAACCCACCTGAATCATTTTTCGGAGAAATGTATTGTCCACCAACATTGAGCCTATATGCTAACTCCATATTGTTTTCCTTTACAGATATACTTTGTTGAGTAACAGAATTCTGAATACTTGTAGTGAATCCAACCATCAGAGGATCCGGACCATAAAATATATCTGGCGCGGTGATCATTTCAATTCCATTGATGAATGCAAATGATGAATCACCAAAAGGCTTAATCTTGATCTCCAAAGTTGGAGAACCCACAGGAGACAATAAGTACTCTTTGGTAATACAACTCTGTGACAAGGCTTCTGCAGTTATATACGCGCTGAAATTATTCAACAGTGTTACTTTACCAGCAGAAACAGTCATAAATGATTTTGAAATATTGAAATTAGGATAAGGCGTTGGGTTGAAACGAAGCCTAAGCAGAACATGTGCTGTTTGGTTTGTAACAGGAAGATTATATGAAGATTCTGATTGAAAAACTCTTGCATTTGTATATGGTACAACAGATGGAGCCAAAGGGTCAGGGGATTCAGGTTGTGTCATAACGGATTTATCACCAGACACGAGATACTTCGTGTCTGGTTCCCATTTTATCATATCTTCATCAACTCCACCATTTTGAGAACCACATGCTAAGAACAATGAGTTTTGGTCATTGTTTAATGCAGCATGAAGCGAAGAAATGTAACATAAGATCACTAGTAACAAAATGTAGGATTTTGTTAACATGGTTAACAAACGAAAGTAAAAAAAAGGCGTACAGGATAATAAACAATCCTGTACGCCTACGCACTACAAAGTGAAGGTTGGAGGGGTTTCTTTGCTTTTGGTACAAAGACCTGCAGGTCATTTCTTTACATCCATGAAACAAGTGTTTAGCTAACAAACTATAGGATTGCTGGGAAATAACCCACAATGAAGAAAAGTTGAAAAATTTTCAACTTTTTCTTTTTGTTTTGCCTTAGTTTTGCCATTATTAAAGAAGTTATGAATTAATGGATAGGAGTGAATATTGTGACCTTAAGTCTAGTGAACTCATTTTGCTTCCTAAGCTAATGAGAACCTCAAGAGAAAATATTGGCCTTGAGTACTATTCGCAATATCCTCTATATATAATCAATAATTCTTTCTTATTTAATACAAATAATTTATTCACAAAGAAGCAATTTATTAGAGTAATACAAATGAGATCATGATGAATTTAAAACAACATTTGGTATCTTCATAAGATATGACTAAAATTTAGTAAATACTACTCTCTTCAAACTGTGATTACAATAGATATGTTATTGTAATATAAATATTATGAGTATATAAATATTGCATTTGTCATCTAAATATAAAAAATTGATAATGTCAAAACGAAAACGACGTCACTTCTTTTATCATGTGTTTTTATAATGCAAATATTATTAGAAACAGATGAGAGACAACAAATTTATACTATAGTTTAAAATTAGCTTAAAATATCACAAGCATTTTTTAGTGCATTTATTCATTTCATATCAAATGATCAAAGATAATGTGATACATAAATTTTGTAGATTATGAAAGATTATTATTATTAATTTTTGTAAAAATTAGG